TTTAGATGACATAACTGGTGAAATATCTAGCTGATAGGCAGTGCAAATCCCAATCTTGATTATACACTGTGTATATTTACTTCCAGATATTCTAAATTCATTAAGTTATTTCTATGGTACTTATATAACACAGTTTTGCTCTAACATAATTAGAAAATTGAGGATATCTTCCATACAATACGACTTCTGGTTTTGCTCTAATGTGGTTTGGGAAATCCTCTGTACAAAATATCATAATTTTTAAGTGTAAACTCTTTTATTCAATATTTTTTTATTCAAGTAAGAACACGTGTCCTTTAAAATTTGCCTATGGATTGAAACTTTCAATTTGTTTTATGTCTTTCGCCAGAGTTCCTTTAATGAAAACTGATAGTAGAATGTGTTTCTTAATTGTCCTAGCATTCCTATCAACCAGGTGTCATCGTTGCTTTCAGACTTTAGATCTTAAGACTTTCACTGTGTTTTGTTTTCATACATCAATCTTCGTATTTAGTAAAGTTTATTTAAGCATTTTAGGTATTAAACTTATTTCTTAATACTGCAATCAAACAATTCCATATTTGAGCACAAATTCTAGGGGGGAAAAAATTGTTCAGTACTCGACTGAACAAAGGCGATCCTCTTGAAGAAATCTTTGATTAATAATATATTAATATCCATACAAAATTATGATGAAATTATAAAAAAATGAAGACGTTGCTGATATTTTTGAGAGATCAACAAAAAAGCTCAAATGACAACGATACTTCGTAAAAAGAAAACATCCTCGTTTAACTAAAATTAATATTAATAGTACTTTTAATTTAATTGCGCTCATAGTTAATTATTAATTGGCTGTAATAAACATATTTCTCTAAGTAATGAAAAAGAATAGTATACTTTTGCTAATTTCTGGAACGTAATCCTATGTTTTGAATTAGTCCTTTGTTTCATATAGCACGAATTCGCTTAACACAGCACTTTTTCAGAATGTATCTACTGTGTTATACGAGAGATACCTGTATATACATATATTGGTCAGTCAGTCAAATGAAAACCAGATTTTTGTGACAAAATTTAGAAAAAACTGCAGGCAGTTATAACTTACATCCACTATGAGTGAACATAGTGGATGTACAATGCTCTGAGGATAGTAGTACAAATCATACATGCTTGATCATATGACAGCAGTGTTGCAAAGATTGCTGTGCCACTACAAATTTGTATAAAAAAAAAAAAAAGAGCAGCAAGCTGTGATATAATTTCTACTCTCTGAAGGTGTAAAACCATCTCATATTCATCAGTAATTGTGTGATAAATATGGTTCTGCATATCTATCTAGACAAAAAGTCTTTGAATAATATGGAAAATTTAAACAAGACATCACAAATGTAATAGATGCACCTCAGCCTGGCCAAGCACACTACCAATAATTACTGAAGTTGAACACATTATGAAAGAAAGTTACTCTTGATGTTACAAGTTACTCTTGATGAAGTAGCTTCAGAACTGAATGGTGGTCACGATTTTGTACTGTACATTGTATTATTCATAATGTACTCAATTTTGATAAATGGCTGCAAGATAGATCCCTAAAGAATTGTTTTAAGAAGAATTGCAGAATTTTTTAGATGCTAAAACATATGTATTATATTAAGTGGAAAGTGTACAGAAATTTAATATAGTTGTATGACATTTGTTTGCAATAAATAATACAATATAAAAAAGATAATTTTAATTTGACTGACATTTGTATACAATTTTTTAAAATTATCTCCTTAACTTTCACTTGTTTATTTTTAAATGTTTTTCTGCATTATCAGCCAAACTGCCAAAACTACAAAAGCCAATATAATGACCTGTTTAAAAGTTAAGGCACTAATATGGATAAAGAACAAAATTATAAATTTATAGATAAAGTACTTTAACTTGATAAAGGTTCAATATTTACTCTAATACATTTGTTGACAACACTTTTCTTATGAAAAGTGTTGTCAACACTTTTCATAACACACAAATAACACACAAATATTAAAAAAAATAATTAATTTTGTTTATATTATCCAAAGGACTTCAGATTAGAATAAAAACTAATAATCTGAACATATAACAAATATTTGAATACACTCAAAATTAAAATAATAATTTTAGCATATATAGAACATATACATAAAATTTATTTTTTGTTTATTTTTTAAAAGAATATCTCAAATTCTTTAGCCCAAATTGTATTAGATATTCATGATTCAATTTTAATTAATTTACCACTAGATGAAGGATTCAAACTTGACCAGTATAGTGTAAAATTATATTTTCATCAAAAAATAAAAAAATTTTTGTTTTGGAGAAAACTATTCTAATTTTTAAATACAGACACTTCACTTGTCTGAAATATGAAACTATTTTTAAGTATATTTTTAATGAGAATTTATGCTGAAAGTAAACAAAAATTATATTCTACAATATGTATATATAATTGTCAAGATCAGGCATGGCCAACATACGGCCCGCGGGCCAGATCCAGCCCGTCTAATGAATTTATGTGGCTTGCAATTAATCTTTCAATATAAGCTACTCAAGTCCAAATAGCTCGATGAAAAATTCTGACGCCAAAAAAGAAAAAAAAAAAAGAAAAAAGGTCAACAACTCACTGTGCATTTAGAGTTAACCCTCCATTACAAATCTATTAAGTACAGCGTAGAATGTTGATAATGTGAAAAACATATCTGTAATTCTGTAATCTCTATGTACAATTTAGTCTTTATGGGGTGACACCATAATGAGATCTTGCACCACCTCAAAATCTTCTTAGGGCAGCCTCTGGTTCGGTCCGCGAAAAAAGTTCTCTTTTCAATTCAGCCGGGGGGGGGGGGCAAAAACTGTTGGCCACCCCTGGTCTAGATAGTTAGTAAAGCTATTAAAAGTGCAAGATATCTATGTGATTTTTGGATAACACCACATAACAAAAATTTGTTAGGCTTTTTTTCAATTACATTTAATCTATATCCTCACTAAAATGGAAGAAAACAAAGTACATTTCTGACATCTGAAAAGTTTCTTTCTGTGGAAATGCAAAAAATACTGTAAAAGCAACAAATGAAATGTATGCTGTTTATGATGATGATATTATTGTTGAATTGACAGTCCACAGAGTTCAAAAAATTCAGAGTGAATAATTTTAACTTAGATGATAATCATGCTGGGAGAGCCTGATGTCATTGAAAATGACCAGATTAAATGTTAACTGAAAATAACCCTCATCATACAACAGAAGAAATAAAAATATAGTAATCATCAAAAAGTACTGTATTTGACCATTTGAAAAAACTTTGTTATGTGACTCACTACAATATTTGGATATTACATGATTTTAGTGAAAAGAACTTATTGATTCTGATCTCTGTGATTCACTTCTGAAACATAACAAAAATCATCTGTTTCTGAAACAAATGGTAAAAGGTGACAAAAAATGGATAATCTATAATAATGTTAGCTGAAAATGATTATAGAGCAAGAAAACTAAATCACTATTATCTACTCCAAAAGTCAATATTGCATTCAAAAAACAGTCATGCTATGTGTCTTATGGAACTGGAAAGAAATCATATACTAGGAGCTTCTTCCACAATACCAGTCAATCAATTCTGATATGTACTGTTTTCAACTAAACCAACTGAAAACAGCAATATCTAAGAAACGTCCAGAACTGACCAACAAAGAATGTTGTGCCCCATCATAAAAATACAAGACCACACATCTATTTGAAAATGTGACAAAAATTATCAAAATATGACTGGGATGTCTCATCTCACCCATCATATTAACCAAACTTTGCAATGTTGGATTATCACCTATCCATGCAAAATTCCCTTTATGATAAGACAGAAAATCTGGAGTCCTGTAAATCTCATATAGAGCAGTTTACCACACAAAAAAAAAAAACAGTTAGGCTCTTTCAAGACAGAATTATGAAACTGCCAAATAGATGGCAAGAGATTATTAACAACAATGATGCATACATCACAGACTAAAGATAAAAGGTTATTAAGGAATAATTTTGTGACACAAAATCTTGCATATTCTAGGGTAACTCTGCACCATGAGACACTGTGCAAAAATAGTATAATGCATCCTTTCTCTACAGCTTGTTATCATTATTGTCAATTATACTGACACAATTTATTATTTAGGTACAAAAATTCCTATAAGAGGTCCAGATAAAAAGCTTAAGCTGATTAAGAAACAGTCGTAATTCAATTCTATTCAGAACTGCTGGCATATTAGACACACAAAAATAAAGGGTAATTACAGAAGTATATTAAAAGAGATTGGTATCATTAACTTGATACAGAATACTGAAAATACAGAAAAACTTTCGTTCACTATGCAAAGCTTAAGGTCCAAGGTGGTCCTATGAAGTATTAGTAATAGTATTTGAATAAGATCATTCAACAAGAAATAACTGACTGTTCACATAATCAGTCATGTTTTTCAAGCATACTTATGCCATGAACCTATTTCTTTGCTTCAATAACTGTAAATGGCAAGTTCTTGCAATAGTATTAATTTTTGTGAAATTAAAACAACATTTACTTAAACTCAATATAACATTATATATAATAAATTGGCCTATTTTTGTTTATTATTCTTGGTTTCTTCTCCATGTTATCATAAACTATGAGCATAGCCTATATATCTTCTTTGCACGTCTGTTGGATATTTTTGGCATATGTCATGAGTGATGCAATTTCTGTGGCCACTACTGTATATTCATTTATATAATATTGTAATTTAAATTCTAAATAAATTTTAAAATTTGCTCAACCTTCAAATTTATCATTTTAACTGTTAATCTGATATTTTGGATAATAAAGTGAAAGCATTTATTATTTTTCATATTTAGTAAAGATTTGATAATAAATACATCAGTGAAAGTGTCCATAAAGTTTTGTTTCTACTTCAGATTTTACAATCTTGAAAAAATTATTATTTATTCACTTATGTGGTATTAACTAACTTACCTCTTCTTCTTAGCTGGTGGTTCATCCTCATCTTTTTTTTCCACTAATAATTAAGAAATAAAAATAGTAATTAACACTGTTATAATAAATTTAAAAGACAAGTGTTAAATTTTTATAACTAAATACAAATGTAAACGATATGTATTATGTACAATAAAAACCCATATAAAAGAGTATAATTTTTAGCTGTTAATAATAAAAAATTATTAATAAAAATACAGTAGACTCACTTTTAAGAGACCTTTTTGATTTAGCAACTCATCATGATATGACAATAATTACAAAAGATCCTAGCTTTTTGCAATAAATGTAATGCATATTTTACTATAAATATAAAGGCACTGTAAATGGTCTAAATTCTTTATGGAGACCTTTAAGCATATACTGAATCAACAAACATGGGAATTAAAACAAACTACTGTTGGAATACTCTATAATACAATCTATTCTATTATATACTTTCATAGAAGTTCCCATTACAATCAATTATGGCTACAAAAGTTTTGCTCTAGTTGCAACACACAAACAGAAAGCTAACCTTTCAACTATTCATTCCAAATAGATGACTGATAATTTGTCCCATGTACCTATTCTCAAATTACAGTATGTACCATACATAGCAATAAACGTTGAGGGTATCAAGTAGTAAAAACTCATTCAGCAAAAACATTCTCTGAATGAATTGTAATGATACCTGTAAAAATTACAGTACATAAACATGAAAAACAGTTAATTTTTTCAAGGTATGATGATAATTCTAATATTAGAGAGGTTGCAGCCGACATTTTCAGCCTAAAATGTGAACGATGAACATCGAGCACTGCCATCTGGCAATTATAGAAGGTTGATAACGGCGTTCGCTATATCTAGCATGGCAAGTAGAAGTTTGGCTTAAAATTCATTTCTTTTTTGTGTTTGGGGTTAAAATTATGACATATTTTATTAAAATAATGATTATTTAAGCATTTATGAATAACACTGTAAAGAAACAGACGATTTTTAATCCAGAAATTATTTAATTATTCAATTTCCTTGCAAGTGATGTGAAGTGCCTATAGAATTTACATATATTTCTGTTCATAACAACTTATCATAATTCTGTAGGAGTAGGTTTGTTCTTTCATAGCATCTTTTACCATCAACAGCATAATACGTTTGTAAATTTTCTAAAAATAATTTTCCGAGCTGCTTTCAATTTACATAAGCCACTACTTCCCCCAACAAAAGTATGAGGTAGTCCTATCACATGGTAGGAGACACGACGCTAATTAAAAATAACTATTCAGCGTTATTAAATATCCTATAAATACTTTAAAATAGTTTAATTTGTTTATTTACCTTCGCTGGTAACATTCGTCATTGTTAAGCATTTCCACCATTTTTCAATAATATCCCATGAGTCAGTGTGACGTGAATGTGTGGTGCAACATGTTTTACTTGGAGTTCAAACATCAGATGTGTGCTTCTGCTTGCTGTACAAGTTTAACGTTTGAATTTTGACTCTCTAATAATAATTATAATAATAAAGTGCATACACATTTGTAGAATATATTAACCATCATTTGATTGTCATTTACTTATTAAAAACAAATTTGTACTGATATCTTTTTTAAGCCCACCAGTGGCCGAGTGGTCTTCGTACCCTAAACATTGGGAGTTCGGTCGTGGATTCGCGCCGCGATCGGACAGGCTGGCTGCTTGGAGTTTTCCAGGTTTTCTCCTTGCCAATAACGACTAAATAGGAGGCCAGTTCCCCATAAAAGTCCTCCCGGAAGGCATTAGTTCCCCTCGCGTAACACCCAGAGAAGGCAACGGGAAACCACTCTGGGTACTAACTTTCCCTAGTAACGCGTTGGCGTATTTACTAACTGCTTACTAATCTGCGCCGGGTGTGGCCGAGGTCGGGAAAATCCTGATATGGCACTATGAGATAGGATCTTTTTTAACTTTAATTTTTAAAATTACTTTAAATATAATATCAAAGAACTTTTTTATGTCCACATGAAATAATATAACATAATCAGCACCTTTCTGCCAGAATTAGAAAATATTAAAAAGTTTGATATAATGTCCATTTTCAACAGATCTCCAAAAGGTCACTATAAAGTGAGTCCATTGTATAATAATTACTGACTCCATTAAAACTTCTTCAAAAAATTTATTATTATTTAAAACACACAACAACGTACAAAATATCTTGAAGTATTTTTCAAATTATGTATGTATGTTTCAGGTTCAAAAAGGAGAGATTCAGAGTTTAATTTATAAAAAATCTTCAATTTAAGCATTTGCAACATTCTTCTTTCTTCAAGTAATATTTTTTCCACAATATAAAATATATTATATTTTTTAAAGTTCATATAAATTTAATTAATGTGAAGATTCATTTAAAGATTACTGTATTTTACAGACTATAAGACGCATCTTAATTTTTAAGCAATTTTTTAAAAAAATAACATTTTTACCATTATTTTTGTTAGCTACTAACAAAAATATTGTAATTCTAAAATATGAGCTTTTAAAGGCAAAAGAAGAGTCTCAATTGTAAAATTTAACCATAAAATGGATTAATTGTTGAAAGATCATTCAAAATAGCCATGAAAAAAATTAGAATGCTGGCTACCATCCAAAAAAAATTCGAAAAGACACTTACCATACATCACCATGTGCACTAACTTGCGCTTTCAAAATTTCTAAATTTTCATTCATAAAACCACATAATGGACCCCGAAACAACACTATCTGAGCCATGGAGGATGCCATGTTACTTTCCACCACAAACTACTGCTACAAGTGGCTGTTTTTGCCGTTCGACAGCGTGCACTCTGACCAGAATTTAGGAATGCATTCCACACGAAGCATTCCACACGTGCAGAGTTACGCGGAGGAATAAAAGAATGCATCCATGTTTGTTGTCGCATCAGTGCACTACTGCTGCCAGTTGAATTCAATGTTGCCAGATAGAGATAGGTTTCCCATGGCATCAAATATATGGCCATTTTTAAGGCTGGCTGGAATTTTAAATCAAACACTGGACATTTTTATATTAATTTCAAGTATAAGACGCACCTGAATTTTGGAGGCAATTTTTCAAAGAAAAAAGTGCGTCTTATAGTCCGTAAAATACGGTAATTTCTGAAATGTAAAACTTCAGTGAGAAAATCATTTACATTATTTTCAAATTCATAACAACCACTAAATATCAGTAAAATAGTCTACAGAAGTAATGTTTAATAATTACAATAAACAGTGCTAGTTCTTTTGAAAGTTAATGAAATAAATTTTCAACTTATAAATTGCATATTCAAGCTCAAAATATATTTAAGTTTGAATTACAATAAACTTTGAAATTTTAACATGTCTTTAATTCACAAATAAAATGAAATTATATTGCAATATTAAAGAAAATAGTTTATTATATTATATTATGATATATTAATAGTTCAAACTGCTAATATGAAATAAATATGTCTTCTTTTTAGTTTAAATATAAATTTCATTACTAAAGGAACTAAAGGTAAGTTACTGAAATCTCAAAAATATTTTTATAATTACTAAATTTGCCTTATTAGTTTTTAACTACTAGCCAGAACCTGTCAAATATTCACTTTGATCAAAATATGACTTCTAACTAGTTTAATGCATGGTCATTAGAATTATAAATCACATTCGTACTGAATAAAATCTCTATAAATGCTAGTCACCTTTCTTAACTTTAAAAAATTCATTCATGAAAGGAATAAAGATCTTTGAAATTATTTTCAAAATTTGAGAAATAAATTTATTGAGAATTCATATTTTTATTCTAAATCAGTTTATAATTTTAAAAATTATTATATTACTTTTTGAATAACTCACTAAAGACAACATTCATTTCCATCCACTTTTGTGAATATTATGATTGATATTTTTAAAAGATTTCACTTTGGACAGAGCTAATTCACAAAGATGTTCATGCATTGTCTTGCATGTACAATGATAGTCTGTTAATAAATTCCTTTCTATTATATAAGTATAATTTTGCTATTGTCCATTAATTTCTTTTAAAATACAGTACAGCGTCATTTATCCGAAAGTCGGTTATCCAAAAGCATTCCAGTCGGCAAATTTAAATTTTTGCTAGTGCTGTGGCGCTGCAATCTTTGGCTATATCTTGGGCTACTCCAATATTTTCTTTTGTTGATGTGTTTTTTTTAGCTGGCAGCACTGGCACTTTTGTTTGGTGTTTTTCTGAAGACTGTGTGTTGTGCTGAATCGAACGTTTTTGATACTAGATCATCTTCTAAAGTATATATTTTTTGGTTTTTATATTTTTCAAAATATTTATTTTGTTTGTAAGAAATAAAGAAATAACTTTTAACAATACAATAGCCACGATTATTATTTTAAAAAGTTTACATTAGACTTAACATCGACGAAAGTTCAACGCGAAGCGACACGCAACGGAGAAAAATTTCAACGTGGGATAGGTTAATATATTTTTTCGTACATAATTGGTTATTCGAAAAATAAGTTATCCAAACAACCCCAGTCTTCATTGATTCGGATAAACGACACTCTACTGTATACAGTAGGTATCATTTACTGTAATTGCAATATCATCATCAGTCATCTAATATTATAAGAATCAATATGCCCCAAAACATATAAATTAAACAACATTATAAAACTTTCACTTATTACAATCAAAAATTTGTCTAATGCAATCATAATGTATGACTGCTTTAGATACTGACAACATATGTTCCAATTAAAATAAAATAAAGGTCTGATGCTGACAGATAGTTTGTCTCCAAAAAATAAAAAATAAAATTTTATATGAAATAAAAAAACTGGTATAACAAAAAATTATTAGCATTTAAAATTCTTTAATTTAACATGAAATCAGAAAACAAATTTAGAATTATAAGAGATTGAGTATTGTCTTGTGTAACAATCTGGGCTAATGCAAATTATTTGATTAAAAAGAATGTATTTCGTACATATGTATTAAATTTATTTCACCAACTATAACAGCAAAGATGTCATAAATACTGTTCAGGA